ACATCAAACAAGGAATGTTTTCTGAGTTCTCTATGCAAGCCTACGTTTTAGGATTATTGGGCTCAAAGTGGTTTATAAGAGGGGCCGCAGCCAGGGAGACCACATTAAACACTGTTAAAATACAAAGCGTGACCACAAAGAAAGAATTTTTATTTATTTATTTATTTATTTTCTATTCTTATTCATTTATTTCTATTTATTTATTTATATATTTTATTTATTTATTTATTTATTTATTTGAGAGAGAGAGCAAAAGAGACAGAACACAACAAGGGGGAGGGTCAGAGGGAGAAGCAAACTCCCTGCTGAGCAGGGAGCCTGATGCGGGACTCGAATCAGAGACTCTAGGATCATGACCCGAGCTGAAGGCAGACGCTTAATCGACTGAGCCACCCAGGTGCCCCAATAATTGTCTTTTCTTGGCTCATGGAAGTAGGAGAGAAGTGAGAGCAAAAGGGGTGGGTTACAACACCCCAAAGTACAGCAGTGAGTCAGTCAACCCTATGATGCTGTCACCAGGAAAAGACACGTAAGTTCATTTCTCACTGACAGATAAGTGAGCTACTCGGCTTTAGAGTAAAGAATGCCAGATTTTGATTAAGTGTAATACACCTAGAAATGAGACACTCTACTTATTTAAACAACAACAACAATAAAACACCTACTGAATAGTGCCAAGGCACTAACTTTGATCAGCACAAAAACCTTAAAGGATGAAAGAAATATACCCAACTAGGCTTCATGCAGCCATTTATTTATCCACTGCAATGATTTAAATGCTGAGGAAAGATCTGGTTTGATGAAAAGTTCAGAGGAGTCTGGTAAAACAAACAGTAGAAACTAGGCTGATCCTTTAAAGGAAACTGGATAAAATCTGGCTGTTTGTTTTTCTTTCAGTAATTTGCATACAATTCCCCTTTGGGGATCCTGCTAATCCACTCTATCATGCTAGTTTGGGTACAGAAGTCAAAGGAAGCAGAAAGTAATGCAGCTTTTTTTTTTTTTTTTTTTAAAGATTTTATTTATTTATTTGTCAGAGAGAATGAGCACAGGCAGACAGTGGCAGCAGAGGCAGAGGGAGAAGCAGGCTCCCCGCTGAGCAAGGAACCTGATATGGGACTCCATCCCAGGATGCTGGGATCATGGCCCGAGCCGAAGGCAGCCGCTTAACCAACTGAGCCACCCAGGCATCCCAGTAATGCATCTTTTTAAAAAGTTTTCGGAATGGTTTGAACTCCAAAATCCTTGAGATCTAAGAATGTGTAACTCAAAATTCTAAGAGAAAAGGATGTGTACTTCATCACCATCAAAAATCAAGAACCAGGAGTCATTCCACAAGATTTGTTAATACAGAAATTCTGAGACAATGGAGAGATTCTGTACAAAGGAAAAAGAGCAAAAGATGAAGCAGACCATTCCTCTTCATGGAATTAAAGCTTGGTTTGAATCACTTGGGTCCTTCAGGGACCCTCAACTTGGTTTAGATGTCTAAACACCCAGTAGAAGAGAACATAAAGTCTTTGGAAGATGGCACCTTCTTCCTCACCCTCAAATTATTCTATAAACACTTGAGGTTACAATGAGCAGTACACAGTCAAAAATAACCAGGCATACAGGAAAATTAGACTTTATGAGAAATAACCAGTGGCAGCAACAGACAACACAAACTCGTCTTGAAGGACTTCAGAGGTTGAAATTAAACACAGAATATGCAACAATCGGGGTCACTCTGCTTAAAGAAGTGAAATAAAGTTTAAAAATAATTTTTTAAAGATTTTTTTTAAAGACTTTATTTATTTATTTGACATGAAGAGAGTGAGCGAGAAAAAGAGACAAAGAGTAAGCACAAGCACGGGGAACAACAGGCAGGGGAGAAGCAGGCTCCCCACCGAGCAAGGAGGCCGATGTGGGGCTTGATCCCAGAACCCTGGGATCATGACCTGGGCCGAAGGCAGCTGCTTAACCAACTGAGCCACCCAGGCACCCCCAAAAAATCAAGGAAAGGTTTAAGAGCAAATCAGACTCAACTAAAAGATTTGTGAACTGGCGGGCAGCCCAGAGGCAAAGACAAGACATGGAAAGGCTAATAAAAGACATAAAGGATACAAGGAGAAAGTTTAACATACATGTAAGCAGAGAAGGGGAAGAGATGGGACAGAGCTCAGAGCGAATGCAGTATATGAAGAGGTAATAGCTGGGAATTTTCCAGAACTGAAGAAAAATACCAAGGCACCATTTCAAGAGGTCCAATGAAACCCAATCAGATAATTACAAAGAAATTCATACATAGGGGCTCCTGGGTGGCTCAGTGGGTTAGGCCTCTGCCTTCGGCTCAGGTCATGGTCTCAGGGTCCTGGGATCGAGCCCCACATCAGGCCCTCTGCTCAGCAGGGAGCCTGCTTCCCCCCCTCTCTGCCTGCCTCTTTGCCTACTTGTGATCTCTCCCTCTGTCAAATAAACAAAATCTTTAAAAAAAAATTCATACTTTCATACTTAGACACACTGTAGGTGACTACAAAAAATCAAGATGAAAATAAACTAAAAAAATAGCAGTAAGGGGGCACCTGGGTTGCTCAGTCGGTTAAGCATCTGACCCTTGATTTTGGCTCAGGTCATGATCTCAGGTTTTTGAGAGAGAGCCCCATGTTGGACTCTGTGCTCAGCAGGGAGTCTGTTTGAGATTTTCTCTCCCTCTGTGCCCCCCTCCCAAAAGAACAGCAGGAGGAAACAGTAATGACAGGTAGTGAGACAGAACAGACAGAACCCAATAGAATTACTTTAAAGGGGCTCTGACCATTTGAAGTGATACACTCCAGTATTTACGTAATTCTCTATTCTAAAAAGAATTCAAAGCAGTTTACCAAGATTCATATAACAAAATCAACTTAAAATGAGACAAGTAAAACAAAGAGGGACAGAAGACTTAAGTAAGCTGGATGCAACACTAAGATTCATTCCCCAAATGCACGCTATATATTTATACTTCCTTGCTAGAAGAGAACCACTAAACATTCGAGCACCTGCACAAAGAAACAGTCCATTACCACATATTCAGTAAAAACCAACCAGCTGTTCAAGGAAAATAACTATTCCTTTTATTTTTTTTTTTAAGATTTATTTATTTATTTGAGAGAAGAGAGAGTGTGCATGTGTGCGAGTGGGGGGAGGGGAGGGGGGAGGGAGAGGAGAGGGAGAGAATCAGACTCCCAGCTGAGTGGGCTCGATCTCACCACCCCCAGAATAGTGACCGGAGCCGAAATCAAGAGGCAGAGGCTCAACCAACTGAGCCACCCAGAGTCCCCTCAGGGAAAGCAACTATTCCTAAAAATCATAATAATTAGTAATGATAGTAAACATCTGTAACATTCTCTTACAATAAATACAGTAGCACATTTAACAGGACCAAAATATAATTCATCAAATGCAACATGATGGGGAAGACCAAGAAATACCACTCTGACATATGCCAGGGACATGGCTCAAATCAAGGGGAAGATCTCAGGGGAACTGATGGCCTACACTGTTTCAGAAAACCTTTAATAGTAAGTGCTTATCTCAGCCAAGCTTCTGCAAGCTGAGGTTTTAAGAGTCATCTCCTCACGAGTATCTAAGTGCAGCCATTCTGTGTGGGTAGTTAAGACCAAAGCCAGACGCTGAACCACCCACCAGGCCAGGAGGAGGATTATGGGCTTTTCGTGAAAACTAAGGAGTCAGACATCATTCTATTTCAACTCACACAAGCGAGGTCCAGGGTGTTCCTTAACCAGTCTTATGACTCAGAAAGCAGACAATACTAGCGCTACATTCTACAAGTGGCAATTAACTGAAAAGAAATAAGATTTAACTTATTTAAGCCAGAGTAAAAGAAAAATCAAAAGGACTCGGTATAATTGATTGGTTGGCAGAAAGGAATCAAAGATGCCTTCAGGGATGAATGAGGGAGAATAGAAATACTATAATAGAAAAACTGAGCAGACAAGTTTTGAAAGAAACAGAACAATTCGGTTTTAGATCAAATGTATGAGCTTGAATATCTGAGCAGAAATGACTAGAAGACATTTTCCAGAATTTTCTAGATATTTAGAAATCTGTACACAGAGATAAAAATCAAAGTCACTGAGTAGTTCTAATTCCCAAACTACCAAAGTGGATTTTCCTCAAATCACTGGCCCAGTGCAAACACAACTGGATCCCACAAGATAGACCACCTGATCATGATCTCAGGGTCCTGGGATCGAGCCCCGCATCTGGCTCTCTGCTTGGTGGGGAGCCTGCTTCTCCCTCTCTCTGCCTGCCTCTCTGTCTACTTGTGATCTCTCTGTCAAGTAAACAAATAAAATCTTAAAAAAAAAAACCACCTGAAAGAAGCACACAGCCAAAATACAAAAAAAGCAGGTTATGTTTCAGAGTGGCCCAGTGCACAGGCAGTGTCCAACACAGATAGCTCCAAAGAGTCTGACTGAGAGAAATAACTGTACAATCTATATCCCATCACTAGACATTAGAATAGAATTAGACTATACGGCTTACCTACAGAGAACGATACAATTTCTTTATGAAGTAAATACTATCTACTCTGTGTTTTATATTTAAGAACACATAGGTACATTCTGTTCCCAGGATGAGATTCTCCTAAGAATTATTAAACTGGGGACATGGAGATTTATCATATATGTCTGAACTTTTCCATGATAAAAGGTTTTCTTTTTAAATTAAACAAACAAATGAAACAAAACAAAAAAACTCCCTAACACTTATCAGCAAGGAAGACATATCTTTGTGTCTTTGAGCAGCCAGAGTCAACCTCTCATGATTGATGAGGCAGGAGGGACATGGTTTCCTCCTCCTCAAAAAAAAAAAAAAAAAAAAAAAAGAGAGAAAAAAGGACATGTTTAAGGAGACTCAAAAGGATTCCTAACTTCTAGGTTGAACAGAAGTTAAATATAAGGGTTATTGTGGCTTAAAAATTAAGTAATAAAAAAGTAAAAAAATAGACTTACTCTTTTCAATGAGCTGATCCTGAACTCCTGCCAATGCACTTACTGCCTAAAAGAAAAAAACCACCCGTTACTAGAAAAATTATCACAGACCTCCACAGAGCACTCAGACAGCTGGGAAAGAGAAAACTCGCAGAAATTTAACTGAGGTGTTCCTCCGAGATGGGCCACAGGAAAGCTCCCCCCACCTCACTTACAGCTGCTGAAGTAACTGAGGATTTACTGAAGAGCCGCTCAGCTTCCTTAAACTTCCGGTTCCTTCGATCGTTTTTGCTATTGGAGTTTCTAAAACACACACAAGAAACTTGTAAGCACCAAGCTGTATCTATGGCTCAAGCTGAGGACAGCCCAGGCCTATGTAAGGAACTCTCTCTCTCATTGTCTCTCTTTTTTAAATTACCAACTTTCAGACGGAAATGCCTCCAACACCGTTTGGATTGACCAAAATGACCTTTACGCTGAATGCCTACACAGACACCAACAGTGGATTCCAATACATGGCAGGGGCTCCACTGTGGGACATTACTTACTTGGTTCCCAGTCACTGTATTTTTAATATGTATTCATTTTGATACTTATTAAAAACTAGCAGAGACTAGTGGTATGAAATGTCTGTCACATAAGCTTAACTGAAAAAATTTAATGAACATGGGGCACCTGGCTGGCTCAGGGGAACATGCGACTGTTGCTCTCCAGGGTTGTGAGTATGAGCCCCACACTGGGTTTAGAGACAACTTAAAAAAATAAAATCCTTAAAAAAATTTCAAAGGACAAATCAGAGTTCCTTAAGGAAATGTTTGGTATCAGTTCTGGGATAAGAAAAGGCCAAGGTGAGTCTAAGACACCCTGTTGGGACAGAAAGCAACAAAAAGCTCAAAGATTAAAGGGTCATGTCAAAAAGGCAAAGGAGGCTCCCTCTGTCTACATGTAGGACAAACCAAGCACTGAAAGGATAATGATGGTCACCAGATGTTTATGATGTACACACTTCTCTGTGTATATTTCAGTAAGTTCAGAGTAAAAAATATGCCTCTACAGTAAAAAAGTGACAGCACTCCATTCCAACACACTGATTTTTTTTTTTTTAATCCACTGGTCTCTAGTGATACTAAAAAGAGAGGGCCAGAGATAGAGAACGAACGGGAGAGAAGATATGAAGGGAAGATTCTTCCTTCCAAATGCCTGTAGTCCACATATAAGGATCAGAATCAGCAGTATATTAAGTGAGTCAGGTAAAAATCAACAGTGGATATTAAAACCACTGAATAAAAACTTGGAGGAGCAATATATTCACACCGTCTAAAAGTATAGTCTCCGATCACAAAGAGAAAAAAATGAATTTTTACAAAGGAGAAATCATACGCTCAAACGTCGTACCAGTAATGGGACAATATGACATTATGTGCCTCCCAATCAAAAAGAGGTAAATGAGACACCAGGCATACAAGTCACTTATGTAACATTTTTGCCAAAAATCCTTAAAGGATCTCTCATGAGGGCACAAACAGAAAAATCTGGAATTGAGGCATTCTGTAAGATAATGTCATGAACAACTTCGCCACCAAAAAGGGTAGGAGACTCTCCTAAATGAAGAGATGAAAGAGTAGTAACAGCCAAATACAATGCATGAACACCCGATGATCAAAACAAGGCAGCAAAGAATGTTGGGGACAATTTGGGGAAATTGAATAGACTACAGTAGGTGATACCATTAGTGTAATGCTAATTTTCTATGTGTGATAATTGTGGTTAGGTAAGAAAAATATTCTTAGGAGGTAACTGCTGACATAATTATGGTCAAAGTGTCATGCTCTGCTTAAATGATTGGCCAAAAAAAAAAACGGGGGGGAGGGAAAATATAACTATAAAGGGGTAGTAGGCAGGAAATCTTTGTGGTGATCAAACACTTCTGTATCTTTTTTTTTTTTTTTAATTTTATTTATTTATTTGATAGAGAGAGACACAGCAAGAGGGAACACAAGCGGGGGGAATGGGAGAGGGAGAAGCAGGCTTCCCGCTGAGCAGGGAGCCCAATGTGGGGCTTGATCCCAGGACCCTGGGGCCATGACCTGAGCCGAAGGCAGACGCTTAACAACTGAGCCACCCAGGCACCCCAGCACTTTTGTATCTTGACTGCAGTGGTGCTTACAGGAATCTACACACAGTGGCAGAACTACACATACACATTGCACCAATGTCAGTTTCCTGAGTTTGATATTCTACTACAGTTACATAAGACCCAACCACTGGGGAAGACTGGGAGACGGGTACATGGGACTCTTAATATTGCTGCAACTTCCAATGTATCTGTAATTATATCAAAATTTTAAAAAAAATTTTTTTAGAAAGGAGGGGGCAGGGGCAGAAAAGAGAGAGAAAGAATCTTAAGCAGGCTCCACACCCGGCATAAAGCCCGCCTTGGGGGTCGATCCCACAACCCTGAGATCATGAGCAGAAATCAAGAGATGGACGCTTAACGGACAGAGCCCCCACAGGTGCCTCTAAAAATTTTAAGTAGAGCTACAGGTGTGTGTCTGTTTATATACATTAGAGAGAAAGCAAATGTGGCAACATGATAACTGATGAATGCAGGTGAAGGGTATCAAGTGTGCACAATACTATTTCAACTTGAAGTGTCTCCAAATTTGAAAATTTTCGAAAAGCTTAGGCAGTTTTCAAGAATAGTTATTACTAAATAAAATTGTGGTATGGTTGGCACACAGGTGTGGCAAACCTCATAAAGGTCAAACTTGTGACTGAGTAGAAACAAATGGAAAACACTCACACAGTGATATGTCGGGTACAGTCATTTGCTGCACTTTGTTTATGCCTCACACAACCCTGTTCCAGGGGCTCGACGTTCCCCATTTCTCAGATGTTAGGATTTGTCCACAGTTACTCTGTGAGGTAGAGGCTGAGCCAGAGTCCAAGCTGAACCCCACACGGCTTTCTACACCACCACTCTACTACTGCCCCCTGCCAGGTTGCTCGCAAGAACACAGTCCAAAAAACAATCGGTAGGGCACAATGCCAACACCACAGGCTTCTGACACTCACTTCTGGTTGGTCAGATACCGATCCCAGCCACGAATAATATTGCCATACATCTGAGTGTCTTCCAGGTAGCTTCCTTCAAAGGCATAGATCTGTCTCTCCAAGTTTGCCAGTGTTTCCTGGGAGATGAAAAACAAGGAAATGGATAATGCCTTTTAAATGCAAAAGTTAACTCTGACCAAACCAAACTCTGAATATCAGCCTTAGACATTCGAGCTCCACTACACTAAGCCACCCCAGTTGGAAAGACAAGACATGGGGAGAGGAAGGCTATTTTAGTCTAAGACAGTCTAGACCTTAGACCTGTCTTGTTGGAGTCCTTTGAGAACAGAAGGGAAGGTACAGGCCTGTCTCTGAAAAAATTTGCAAAATTCTGCATATACTTCGGAGGGCTCGTGGAAAAGCCTGTCAAGAACCGCCCCCCGCCCGCGCTCAGGCAGAACGTGAGCAGTCTCCACTCCCACGCACCAAGGTACTGCTACTGGGGAGAGGAAAGGGTGAGCAGCCTTCCAGCGCCGACTCGCTCCCCTCCCCGCAGGCACTGAGAAGGCCGGCAATGGGCTGTCAGTTGCCATGGAAACCTGGAAGGGCAGCTTCAGGTGACATGGCCCTCCCCGGGGCCCAAGCCTAAACGCGGGGGGGAGGGGGTAGCCACCAGGGTGCCTGGAACCCTGGGTGCCTGTCACAGTTCTCAATTCCCTGGACTGAGTCCTTTCCCCTCGTCTGTCACCTTCTAGATGTTCCCCAAAACATCACAGCCATGCCCGTCAAAAACCCCATCCAACGCATCTCCTAGTCCTCAAAAGGACACGCGCCCCTCCTTCCTCCAAAGGCCAGACTGGATGACTGGGTCCCCATCCCACACCCGCCCCCTACCCCAACCCCTCAGCCCACTGGCAAGCCCGAACAGGTGGCTTACGGTCCCCCAGACACTCCCGAACCCACCCCTCAAAGACCACAGACCTGCCCGCCCTCACCCACCCCGCAAAAGCCAAGGGCACAACCGCCCCCATTCCCAAAGCTCAGAGAAACTCGCCTTCCTCGAGCTTCCATACAGAAGCCCCCACCCCAGGCGCCATCCCTCCTCCACGCCCCCGCCGGCCCCGGCCCCTTTCCCCTCCCCCGCTCCGTGCCCCGCCCCCCCAGCCCGGGCCCCGGCCCTGGCGCCCGGGCTCCGGAGCTGCGCAGCCGGCAAGCCGTGCGGTCGGCGGGCCGCGGAACGCGCAGCCGGCCTCAGGCCGCCGGGCTCCCGGCCGCCCCGTTGCGCCGGGGGAATAACGGCCTGGCGCGATCGGGCCGAGGCCTGGAGGCAGGGGAGGGCGCGGAGCCCGCACCGAGCGCCCCCGCGCCCGGTCCCTCACCGCCAGCTCCTGCTTCCGCTTCACGAGCTCCGCCAGCTCCCGCCGTGTGTCCGGGATCTGCGGCGGCGCCGCCTTGTTGTGCATCGCCATGTTGGGCTGAGGCGGGCGTCGGCGGCGGCGCCAGGCTGGGGCGGTCCCTGTGCGCCGCCGCCCGCCAGGGGGCGCCCGCGCCGCACTGCGCCTGCGCGCGCGGTTTCCGGAGCCGGGCGCCGCGCCGCGCGCCGCAGCGCTGGGGGCCCTCGGGCTCGCGCGCGCCTCTCCTGGACGGGCCGGTGATGCGCGCCGCACTGCCTCCTAGCCGCTCGCGGCTCCTCGGCGGCCGGCTGTGCGTCACAGACACCCCAAATTCACCTTGTCCAAAGCCAGGCTCCTCCCAGGTCACCTCAGTGAATGACTTGACCTCTCCGCCGAATTGCCTGAGTCAGAAACGTGAATATCATCGTCGATCTCCTCTCCCCCATAAAGCCGGGTCCCGAGGACTAGCCTCCGGAAGAGCCCGCAGTCCACTGGCTTTTGTCTGCCACCACCCGCCTCGTCCAGGCCCTCGCTATTTTGGGCTCCATTATTCCCACAGACCCCTTTACACCCTTAGCTCTATTTGATCCTTATTCACAGTGGAGCCAGGATGATTGGTGTTTGGAAAGCAAATGTGGGGTCACTCCTCTGGTTAAAACCTTTAGATAGCTTCCTATTGCCCTTGAGAGAGACAAGTTTGTGCAGCAGTTAAGGTCACAAACCGAAGCCGGAGCTACCTTGTTCAAAATCTTATCTCTACCATTGCTACGCTGTGCCATTTTGCACAAGTAACTGAATTTCATTCGTCTCAACCTCCTCATCTGTAAAATGGAGGGAATAACAGTACTTTTTACCCCTACAATTGTCCTGAGGAGTAAATCACTTCGCCTACGGGCTTGGCAAGTAATAAGGATCGTGCAAACATTCGTTTTTATCATTAAGTCCGGCATCGTTAACTTGGTTTTCATTTGGCTCTTGGTTACTTCTCTTTCTTTAATTCCAGGATCATGAGCCGGATTTTTTCTTCATATTTTTTTTTTCCACCTTGCTTGAAGTCTTTGGGTTTGTACAATCTGTAGATTGGTATCTTCCACTAGCTGAGAAATTTTCAGCTCTTTTTCTTTAGGTACTCCTCTGCCTCATTTTCCTCTCTCCTTCTGGAACTCAAATTGAACATAATCTCTATTTTTTTTACCCACTGTTTCCCATCTTTTTGTCTCTCTGCTGCATTCTAGATAATTTCTCTTGTGTATTGTCCTTGTAACCTGAAATCTTGCTGAACTCCCTTATTAATTCTAGAAGGGTTTTATTGCAGATTCCTTAGGATTTTTTACATAGACAATCATTTCATCTGCAAATAAGGGTTGTTGATTTTGGGTCCCCCCTCTCCCCCCGCCTTCCAATCTATATGCTTTTTATTTCTTTTTCTTGCCTTACTGTGCTGGCTAGGACTTCCAGTTCTACATTGAATAAGAATGGTCACAGTAGACATTCTTGACTCCTTCCCTATCTTGGAATGTATTTAGTCTTTCACCATTAGCTGTAGGATTTTTGTAGATGCTCGTTATTGAGGAAGTTCCCCTCTACTTTTGGTTTACTGATAGGTTTTATCATGAATGTGTATTGAATTTTGTCAAATGCTTTTTTCTATACCAACTGACATGATCATTTTTCCTCTAGCCTCTTGGGATAGTGGATTATATAGATTTCTTCCTGTATGTTAAACCAGTCTTGGATATCTGGAATAAACCTCACTTGGTCATGTTGCCTAATTCTTTTTATATATGCTGGATTCAATTTGCTAATTCCAGAATTTTTGTGACTAAATTTCTGGTATATTGGTCTGTAGGGTTTTTGTTGTTTCTTCTCCCCCCCCCTTTTTTTGGTACTATCCTATTTGGCTTTGATATCAAAGTAATACTGCCCTTATAAAATGAGTTAAGAAGGTACTGCCCGATATTCTAATTTCTGGCAGAGATGGTATAGAATAGTGCTAATTCTTCTTAAAATTTGGTAGGCTTTTTCAGTGAAACCATCACCTCTGAACCTAAACATTTCTTTTTGGAAGCCTTTTATTTTTAATTATTTTAGAGAGAAATAGAGAGCACTAGGGGTAGAGGGAGAGGGAGAGACAACTCGAAGTGGACTCCAGGCTGAGCATGGAGCCTGACATGGGGCTCCATCTCACGACCCTGAGATCACAACCTGAGCCAAAACCAAGAGTCCAACATTTAACCAACTGTGCCACCCAGGCACCCCTGGAAGCTTTCTCCATTACAAATTCAGTTTCTTAAATAATTATAGAACTATTCAGATTATCTATTTCTTATCAGGTGAATTTTGGTAGCTTATGATTTTTGAGAAATTGGACCATTTGTTAAATTTATGTGCATGGATAATTTCTATCTTCCAGTTCACTAATTCTCCCTGAAGCTTCTGTTCTTTTGCTTGCTGCCATTTCTTGTTCCCTCTATTTTCAAGTTTATCATTTCTTTGAGAATAGTAACCATGAACATTTTATAGTATCTTATAATTCAAGTATCTAGTCTTTGACAATCAGTTTGTTATTCCTGTTGGTTCTCACCTATAGTAACTTTTCTGGTGTGCTTTAAAAAAAATAATTGTATCTTTGCAGGGAAAAAAAAATGTAGAAGTAACAGGGGAGATTTAAAAAAAAAAAAAAAAAGTCCCTGCCTCCAAAAAGTGATTTCATTCACTTCTATCATACTTCTGGAGGCATCATTAGTACAGGATCATCTTAAGCCAGGTTCAAGGCTTGAATTTTCCTGAGCTCCCAGGCTACAAATCCCCAGGAGGATCTGATTTCTGATCACCTCGTTTACTCTGCAAACGACAGCCCTTTGGCATGCCAGCTTTTTATGGGAAACATTTAACAGTCTATTCATTGTATGTGGGCTCTGGGTTTTGATTCTGTCCCATTCAACATAGGGTAAGGTCTGATTGGCTTGAATCAAATGTGGTTTGCCATTAGATCAAATGTGGTTTCCAGGCATCTGTGCTCCATTTCTCCCTGAATTCTTGTTTATCTTCGCTTTTGGCCTGATAACATTTTTAATAATTTGTCAGTTCTTGAATGCTTCCAGAAATCTTTTTGCTTGTATTTTATCCAGAAATTTTGGCTTCTTGCAGCAGGAGGATTCACACACAGACAAAATAACTTAGTCCATCATTAAGAGAAATCAGAAGTCTCACTCACTGTTTCCCCTATTGAACTTCCAGCACTTCCAAAACCTCATTAGTTCATCACCTCGGGCATTTCTAAGTGCTAGCCTCTCTGCCTAGAAATACTGCTTTCTTTCCTGGACCTCACTGACCTCTTCTGGCTAGCTGTTCATTCTTCTCTGACTCCCGAGGCTTTGTTAAATCCTATCTCTCCATGCTTCCACAATCCCCAATGCTTCTCCTTCCCAGCACTGTCTATAGCTGCTAGTTACATTGCTCTGCAAGGGCCAGACCTTGTACATCTCTCAACTACTTAGGAGGCAGTATATCGCAGTGGGTAAGAGTGTGGCACCTGGAACCAGAGTAGGTTTGAATCCCGGTGTGACCTTAACTTCTTTGTGCCTCGGTTTTTTGCATCTGCAAAACAGAAAAATTCAAGGCTGTGTTAATGCTCGTGAAAAATGGTTAGAATTGTGCCCATACATAGAAAGTTCTCCTAAGTACTGGCCAACTTTATTATCAACATCTCACCTCATAGCACTTGTCAGGCACCTGATTATTGAAATGTTTATATTCTTTTATGAATCAACATGATGATTTCCAAGCAGCTCTGATTTGGTGAGGTGATTTGCCTGAGCCACTGTCTACCCCTTAATGACCCATCCACCGTGATTTCTTTGAACCCACTATGAATCAAGAAGCCTAGGGGGGGCCTGGGTGGCTCTGTGGGTTAAAGCCTCTGCCTTCGGCTTGGGTCACGATCCCAGGGTCCTGGGATCGAGCCCCACCTTGGGCTCTCTGCTCAGCAGGGAGCCTGCTTCCTCCTCTCTCTCTGTCTGACTCTCTGCCTCCTTGTGATTTCTGTCAAATAAGTAAATAAATAAATCTTAAAAAAAAAAAAAGAAGAAGCCTAATGCACCAGCTGTCTTTTCCCTCAAATCTGTCCACTAAGGACCGCCAGGTTGCTGGGAGGGAATAATCTAGAGCAACGACCACTGAACCAGGACTGAGGTGATTTTTCATCCTAGCTCTACGCCTGCCTTGCTGCGGGACCTCAGGAAAATAGCTTCATTTTACAGAACTCCTTCCGCACATCCCACTCCACTCCTGTGGTCCCCTGGACTACTTGGTCTGTAACAATGCCCTCTTCTACCAACGGTTCAAAACCAACCTGTTCTCTAAGACACACCACAAATGCCAACTCTTGCACAGGGTACACTTCTAGATGACTGCTCCGTTTCTAACTCACAGTTGTAATTCAGCTGTTAGCACAGTAAACTTATACAATAATTTGTTGGAATAACTCACTTAACTTCAGAGTAAATATGAACCAATCAACTGTCTTTTTCAATTGTTTCCCACTCGATAAATGAAAACTTTACCCAAAGAGACCAGATGAAGCTTTAAATTCCAAAGCTTTAATTTAAGTCAAGCAGGCTTCTCGCTTGCATAAACATACATACCCAGGAATGTTGTGGGTTCGGAACACCATCACACAAGCAGGCCTGCTCGTTGATCTATGCGAGTCACACTTGGGCTTTCATTAACATGCTTTCACCTCATTCCTCACATTCACGACTAATTTCCACAAAGGGAAGGATGTTAAAAAACATAACCCGCTGTGCACTGTATCAAATAATAATCAACCCAAAGTATGTATTTCAGTTCTAAGCCTTTTGAAACCAAGCTATATTGTATACTGGCACACTCCATACACTAATACAAAAATGATAAAAACAAAACAAATCTCATTATCTGAATTAGTTACTCTGCTTTTACTTATCACCAGAATACAATAAAAGTATTTGAAAGCTACATCACCAGTTGTTCTTAATGAGGTCTCCTTTGTCCATGTCCAAATGAGAGAACTAGGTGACTAGAAAGAGGTTTGATGGGAAAAACCTGAAGATTCCATCCTATACTTCAGCAGTACTGTAGATCACCACAGAGGTTTTGGGAGAGGGGCTCAGAAACAAAGGTCTGCTTTATAGATAGCTTGGTTTTGACAGCAATGTTTTACAGCCAGTGGGGAGAACAGGTAGAGAATAAAGAAGTTGCAAATGGCTAGGAGGAACATGAGTCACCAAGCAAAGAATTCAAGAAGAAAGCTGTAGGATTATGTCAACTTCAAATGAGAAGTCCACTAGTGATATCTGGCTTTGGAGACGAGTAGTGTCTTTTCTTTGAGCCTTTTTTTTTTTTTTTAAGATTTTATTTATTTATGGGGTGCCTGGGTGGCTCAGTCAGGTGGGCGTCTGCCTTTGGCTCAGGTCATGATCCCAGGGTCTAGGGTTCGAGCCCCACATTTGGCTTCCTGCTCTGGGGGGTGGGGAGAGCTCTCCCTCTGCCCCTTCCCACTTGTGCTCTCTCAAATAAGTAAAATCTTAAAAAAAAAAAAGATTTTATTTATTTATGAGAGAGCACAAGTACGTGCACAAGCAGGGAGCGGGGGGGTGAAGGAAAAAGGCCAAGTGGACTCTGTGCTGATGAGGACCCTGACCCAGGGCTTGATCCCAGGACCCTGAAATCATGACCTGAACCAAAGTCAGATGACACTTAACTGACTGAGCTGTCCAGGCGTCCTGACCCGCTTTTGTGAAGAAAAAAAAAAAAAAAAAGGGAAAAAAAAGGATGTCAGCGTTTTGGAGGAGGGTGGAGGGGGACACCTTCCCAGATGTTTGGCATGAATCTTTTAATGCAAGAAGCTATTCCTCCACTAAAGCAAGTTTACTTCACAATTGGGACCTTTTACTGAAGAATGTGGGCAAGAGGTCACACCTAGTGTGCTGCCCAGCAGGATGGAGTTTGCAGCAAAGCTGGAGGCTGCCTGAAAGCAGTAGTAGGAGAACAAACTGAACAGGAGGCCCTGGAGGCCAAATTAGCACCTGATTCCAATAAGAGAAAGCCATCGGCTGGGATCCATCAAAGCAAAACCTTTCAGACAGACACAGATGCAATAGGGGCTCTACGGCAGATAGGAAAATAGCAGTCACAGTGGCCACTGTGGAGCACACGGGCGCGGGGGGATGCTAACTGCTCTCTTGACATTAGAGCTTCCCTATGTCTAACTGACCTCATTAAATATTCACTTTTTAAGGGGACCTTTTCCTTTTTTTGGCATAAGTGCTAGTCAGCTGCCGCTCCCCACACTAGTCAGCACTTAGTCCTGAGTCCACATGGGTAGGTGAGACCCACCCTTGGTAGGTGGGAGAAAGACCATCTCACAGCATCACAAGTTTCCAAGAGGAGCAAACAGTGGACCGCAGCACTGAGCAGCATCACCCCCTCCCCGCCTGCCTCCCCGCAGGCGACACAGCAGGGACAGGGATGCGCTGGTACAAGCCCAGCTATGCAGAACCTGCCCCAACAGACTAGGAAAACCCCTTCGAGGCCAATTCAGAAACCGCCGCAGCCGCCGCAGGACCAGGACTCCCTTGCTGGTGTGTGAGGGTCTGGCTTGCAGAGCTGCTGCTCGCTCCAACTTCACTATTTCCTGGTCTCACCGCAGCACACCCTCTGCAACTACTAGGAATTTACTAGGTAAACTACTGTTTTACCTCCGAAGTCCTGATGCAAAGATGACTGTGGCTACACACAGACCAATAAACACAAGGTCCTTCTGCCAAGAAAGAATAACCCTTTGAAATGGGGCTATATTTACAAATTTTATTATTTTTTTATCCCAAAAATACATATAAATGAAAACCTGCTATTCAAATGCAGGGAGGCCTTCGCCTATAATGTAGTATCACATTTACATCACAAAACATTCTCATATGAAAATCAGTATGCAGCTCTTTCACTCACACTTTTATGTATACACACACACACACACCCGCACACACACACACACCACACACACACAGTGTATGTAAGTAGCTACGACTCTGTTACTTACATATATTCCTCTATGGAAAATTAGGAAACAGGGCAACTCCCTTGCTTCCCGGCCTTGGGAAAGTAAATACAACCTCTCTGAACATTTTCTAAAAAGATGAAACGTGTCAACTATACAACCTCCTTTACACATATACATACGTTGTTAGAATAAAGCAAGGACCGTGCTACATGAACGACACTGTTTTGCAAAGAAGGAAAGAGAGAACATTTGAATAAAAATGCAAAAGTGAACAGATACGATGATCAAAATGGTTATGTACATGCTTTATGGAGAAATCGGAATTCTCTCACAGGAAATCAATCCATGACCCATTTCAGCCTCTCATGACGTTAGATCAGCACCCACCGGCAGGAGCCAGGATCTTCCTGCCCAGTCGCAGCTTCAGCACGTCCCATAAAGCATCTGTTTAAGTCCAACAGTTAATAATGAGGTCATGTGGTAAGTTCCCACCCCCCAAAAATGAAGTGCAAAATCAACTTCTGTGACTCAAGAGCTCAACCAGGTCAAAGCTTTGGTATATAATGGAGGCTGTTTTGGTGACAACCAAAGCTTAGTAAGATTCTCTGTATCAGGGTTTGCCCCAAAAACAAAAAAACAAAAACAAACCCAGTCCACAAAGCTTAACACCTATATAAATAAAGTAACTGTACAACGAGAACAAGCCACAATTCCCCTTGAGCCAAGGGTCTGTAGTTTCCTAGGAAGCAGTTCTGAAAGCACCAAGGACAGCCACGATGCTTCTACTGCAACACGATGTGTTGGTGAGACTGTTCTGAAAACAAATGCCCACAGGCAAGGGGCTGATGTGCCACAGAAAAAAGTTCAACCAAACAGAAGTCAGTTTTCTTATGCTATAACATAAGGTGGTCAGCAACAGAGCGAAGACTTAAGGCAATAAGAGGCATTAACAGAGAGCACCGTGGTGCTCTCTGACTCAATCCCAAAACCTTTAAAGAAAGAAAAGGTCTCTCGAGAGTTTGGGCTGCTTCGGAGTTTGCTAGCTGTCAGATACTTCCTCCTCCTCCTCGTCATCCTCATCTTCTTTCCTGTCTACTTCAGAGGTGTCAGAGGACTCGTGAAGCAGGACATACTCTCTGCTGCTGAACCCAAATTTAAGTACATCCTTTTCCTTTAGTTCATAGTATCTCTGTGGCTCAATGCGCTTGTTGTTCAAGAACGTTCCATTGCCTGAGCCAAGGTCAATGATGTAGGGCTTCACCCTTCGGCCAACTGTCCCATCAGCACGGGTATATTCCACAAGCCTAGCAGAGAGAAAAGAGAAACTTATGAGCAAAACCCCACCTTGGACCATCTGGCATTTTGCTAACACGGCCTATGTGATGTAAATTACCTGGCTTGAACGCAAGTCAAGTCCAAACTCTAGGAAAGCAAGGGGAAGGTATGGCTTGGATCTGGAAATTGGGAGTGTTAAATATACTTAGAAGAAAAGGCAGGAACTGGTTGCTGAGGGAGTAGAGGAGAGAAATTCATGGTAGATCAAAAGCTTAAAGTCAGAATCTAAGACCTCTTGCCATGATTAAGAAAATACATTTTTGCGTTGTTTATATTCAAGATGATGCTTCTTTCACCTTTATTTGAACATATTTTAGCTCCTGTCTCAATGGGAATAAAGCAGTGGATTTTAACTTCAGAGTCAAGGGAGCTAACTTTGAACCAGATCATTTACTAGGCTCTGCTGAGCTTCAATCTTCTCACCGGTCGAATGGGGATATTAACAGCTGACCTATCCTCCTCATAGGAGTGCTGTGATGATCAAACAGTAACAGAGGTCTACACAAATGGTCAAATACAGCTTAGCGGACACACATGCCAGCCACTCTCAGGTACGCTTCCATTTAACTCCCCAAATAGCCCTTTGAGGTAGGGAGAAACTGAGGTACAGAGTGGCTTGCCCCAGGCCAAACCCCTGGGACGTGGCAGTGGCAGAATTCAAAATCTGGATCTCTGACACCATATGTGATGCTTTTAGACACATGTAAGTGATAATCCAAAGGGCGGTTAGATTCATAAACTTAATATGAAGATTAGATCTGTGGAGCATGGGATTCTTCTGCACACACGTGTACACAAACGTTAGTAATCCTGAGACTCTTGGCTTCTGCCCACGCTTCTGGTTCTTCCTGCAAACGCGTACTCACCGATACTGAAAGACGGCGTGCTGCTTTGAGCAGGAGGGATGATCGATTGGGATGTCCGCTATGCGGCGGTGCCGACCTAAGAGGTAGGCGCTCTGCCGATGGATGTACATGACAGGAAGCACCTCGTCATTTTTAAAGGGGTAGAGGCGCCATCGTTTCTTGGGGATACGTGCTTCTGGGGGCTCACTATACTTAATGACGACACCCCGGAAGGTGTTGGTGTCCTCGAGAAGTGCCCCGGAGAGTTCAAAGCTTGGCTTTTCTTTAGCGGGTGCCTCTTTGTCTTTATTGTTGCCCCCAGGTCGGGGAACCGACCCCTGAGACTCATTACCACCAGCGCTAACTTCGTTCTTCTGGCGATTCTCCCGTCTTCGGGCGTTGTAAAACTCCCGCTCTGCGTCCTGAGCCTGTAGATTCTGAACATCTCGGTCCCGTCCCTGAGTCTGCCCACTCCCGGGCCTCTCATTAGAGCTTCTCCTCTGGTGAGAATGGCCCCGGTGTCTGTCACGGTCACTGTTTCTAGCTCGCCTGTGTTCCTGGCCTGATGATTCCCGGTGCTGCCGTTCCTCCCGTCCTCTCCGGGTATGATCCTCACGTTCCTGAAATTCAAACAGATCCAGTAAATGAGAGACAGTCCACACTCTGTCAACAGATGCATTCAAAAAGCCATTTGTGATTTGGTCTTTGGCATTCAGAGCAAAATGTCCCACAGAAATCAGGTTAGCAGTGGTGGCTATATTCCCTGGCAAGGCTCCACACACTATTTCCATAGTCACCTGACTACAGCTCTAACGCTGCAAGTCCAGGTTCAGAGTCCTAGAAACTAGAGGAGCTATAGGCACCCTCATAGGGAAGCATACACATAAAACAGAACGAATGGAATTAAGTAGTCATGTACAAGATAAACATATAAAGAAAAACAGCTAGTTTTCTCTTACGACAAAAATGAAAATGTAATTAATTTTAAAATATCTCATTTCAACAGTAACAAAAATTGTTCAATACCAAGGAAGATACTTTAGAAGTATGTAAGACATATAAGAAGAAACTTGTAAAAATTTATTGATTTTTTTAAGATCTGAAAAAAATTAATAAACATATCATGGTTTCTTGAAAAACAGTATTGAAAATCAGCTTTGCAAAAACTGCAACACATATCATCTACTAATATACCAATAAGAAAATAAATCGGTAAGACAATTCAAGAGAAAAAAATGGGCAAAGGATATTAACAGCTTTTCTAAGAAGTATCTAATGAACGCACAAATATAGTAAACTTATCCTAATAATCAAAACATCAGAGATCAAGAGGGAGCCCTGCACACTATGAACAAGGCCACCCTACCTAGAAAGGATAAAGAGGATCTGAGCACTGAGATCTCACCGCCTCCCCTACTCCCAGGGCTTCTCCCTGCTACACACACAGGGGTCAAGTGCAGGCCTGCTTACTCAGAGCAGGACTCAGTTTTTCTAGACTTCCTAGCTTCCAAAGACAAGCATCAAGAGGGAGCCTCAGACTCACATCCTTCCTACCTTAAGGAACTCACAAGCTTGCCACCACCACCTACAGAACTAATGTCATTATGCTCTTTATCCCTGATTAAATGAGTCACTAAGAGAAGCCACAGACTCCAGGTCATCACCCCCACCTCCCCCATATCCTAATCCCCATAAGGTTCTATATATCCACTATTCCAATGACCAATTAATCCTCAGTCCTCACTTTAAAGAGGCACAGACTGTGGCGCCTGGGTGGCTCAGTCGGTTAAAGCGCCCGACTCCTGATTTTGGCTCAGGTCACGATTGCAGGGTCATAAGATTGAGCCCCATGTCAAGCTCCACGCTCAGTGGGAAGTCTGCTAGAGATTCTCTCTCCTGCTGCCCGCCCCCCAACCCCTGTCACACAGGGTAAATAAATAAAGATGGGTAGACCAGGCAAAATTAGTAAGAACTATGGAAAAGGATAGGACAAATTATATAGCCAGATGACACAAAATAACTAAGATTACAATTATTGGTTAAGTAGGATAATATATATAATATGGTTCCTTTAAAAAAAAAGAGATTTATTTATTTATTATTTATTTGAGAGAGTGAGAGAAAGAGATCACAAGTAGGCAGAGAGGAAGGCAGAGGGGGAAACAGGCTCCCCGCTGAGCAGGGAGCCTGATGTAGGGCTCAATCCCAGGACCCTCAGTCATGACCTGAGCTGAAGGCGGAGGCCTAACCCACTGAGGCACCCAGGCTCCCCAATATGGTTCCTTTTTAAAAATTTTTTAGAAGATTTCATTTATTTGAGAGGGAGAGAGAGAAAGCAAAAGCAGCAGGGAGGGGCAGAGGGAAAAGTAGGCTCCCTGCTGAGCAGAACCCCTAAAATGGGGCTGGATCGCATGGGATCCTGACCCAAGCCTAAGGCAGACGCTTAACTGACTGAGCCACCCAGGTGCCTCATGGTTCCTTTTTTTTTAATTGAAAATTTTGCATGGAAAACACACAGAGATACATACTAAAACATAAAGGAAAAAAGGAGAATGTAAGTATAAGAGAGCCATGAAATATAAATATCAAACTATTAACATGGTTGCCTCTGGGGACTTAGATGATTTTTTTCTTTTTTTGGGAGGGAGGAGGGAGCCTGCAACTTTGGGGATAATGGGAGAAGTAACCAAACACTATATATCCCATACTCTCACTTTTTACTTCATATACTTTTATATACCTCTGTGTTATTATAATGAGCACACAATCAAATTTATTTTTTAAATGGTGGGTCAGGTGTGGAGAAGAGAATGCCTGCAAGCACAGATCATGCTTAAGTCTGAGGCTGTGTGCATTCCTCCGTAGGATTAACCCATGTGAAAGTCACTCAGTGTCAACTGCCTGTCAAGCCCTTTTGCTTGAGAGCCATTTCCAAGTTTCCAACTGGAAATTAACTTTTCTAATTAACACACAGAAATTAGCTTTTAAAGAGATAATTTAATATCAGAAGTTAACATAGATAAACAATTGAAGACACATCAAAACAATAATAAACACAGAAAAGTTCCATTTTAGGCACGCCTGGGTGGCTCAGTCGGTTAGGCTTCTGGAGTCAGGCTCTTTGCTCAGCAGAGCCTGCTTCTCCCTCTGCCTGCTGCTCCCCCTGCTTATGCTCGCTATTTCTTTCTCAATCTCTCTCTCTCTCTCTCTCTCTCTCTGACAAATAAATAAATAAATAAAATCTTTAAAAAAAAAAAAAAAAAAGCTTCATTCTAAAAGTCCCAGAACTTACTGTAAAAGGTTCATTTAGAAACCGCAGGTAGGGAGCTGCCAGTTGTACAGTGGGAAAAAAAAAAAAAAACCCAAAAAACGAAAGGCCTTGTCCTGGTGGTGTAGCTCTGGGAGCTGCATTCTGAGAGAGCTAAAGTAGCGCCTGATCAATTCACACTGCACACCACCAAGGCTGTCTGGCTTTCTATCTTTAAGATACTAGGAAGTTGGTCCACAGTCTCTCAAAGTAACAGGAAAATCCATTTTTTTAATGTCTATTTGCACACTGTAACATAGTCTCTTTAAAAACACGGAATGCTTGCCTCTCAAGTTTGAGGGAAAAGCAAGGGTGTCCCCTCTCACTACTCTCATTTGACACAGTGCTAGAAGTCCTACTTAGTACACTAAGACAAGACGAGGAAATACAAAGCATAGAGATTATAATGGAAGAAATGAAACTGTCCTTATGTGAAAATATGATTGTCTATGTAAAAAAAAAAAAAAAATCCCAAGAAATCTACAAAAAACCTTCCTGGACTAAATCAGCTGAGTTCAATGAGGCCACAGGATATAAGAAAAACACAGAAAAATAAAAAAAATCAATTATATTTCTATAGATTAGCAATGAACATGTGGACCAAAACTTAAAAATATCACTTATAATCACTCCCCCAAAGAAAAAACTTCATGTAAATCTAATAAACTATACATAGAACGTAAGTGCTAAAAACTAAAAACGCTGAAGAAAAAATCAAAGATCTAAATAAATGACTTAAACAGTGCTCATGGACTGGAAGATTCGATATGATAAAAAGCAATTCTTCAGGCACCTGTGTGGCTCAATCAGTTAAGTGTCTGCCTTTGATTCAGGTCATGATCCCACAATGAAAGGAGTACCTGGCTGGCTCAGGTGGTAGAACATGGGACTCTAGAGTTCACGCCCTGCGATGGGCGTGGAGCCTACATAAAATGAAAAATAAATAAAACATAAATAAAATTACAATAAGGTATCATTACACATCTACTAGAATGGCTGAAACAAAAAATAATGTCAACACCAAATGTTGGTGAGGATGCAGAGAAACGGCTTCACGCACAATACAGGTAGGAATCGTAGGATGGTACAGTCACTGTTAAGGAGTGAATAGTGTCCCCCCAAAATTCATATGTGGCAGTCCCAACCAGCATCCTCAGAATGTAACCGCTTTTGTGGTATTTTTTTTTTTTTTGCTTTTGTTTTTGCTTTTTATTGAGATAAGGTCTTGAAAGACATGATTAAGTTAAGATGACAGCAAAGCCCTAATCCAGTATGACTGGTGTCCTTGTATGAAGAGGGAGAGACACCAAGGGTATGAGCCCACAGAGGAACGGCCATGTGAGGTCACAGACAGGAAGGTAGCATTTGCAAGCCAAGGAAAGAAGCCTCAAGAGAAACAAAACCTGCTGACATCTTCATCTGGGACTTTAGCCTCCAGAGTTGTGAGAAAATTAATTTGTTGTTTAAGGTACCTAGTCTGTGGTATTTTGTTATGGAAGCCCTAGCAAACTACTATAGCCACTAGCATACAACCTAAGAACTGTACTCCTGGGCATTTACCTCAGAGAATGAAGATACATTCACACAAAAACCTGTACACAACTGTTACACAGCAACCCTACATATAATAGCCCAAAACTGGAAACAGTTCTTTAGTGGGCAAATGGTTAAATCCATGTCACAGAGGAGCACTCAGCAATAAAAAGAAATGAACTATTACTGACAGATACAACAACCTGAATGAATCTCCAAAGAATTATGCTGAGTGAAAAGAGCCAATCCCTAAAGGATACATGTATGATTCTATTGACATAACGTTCTTTTTTTAAAAAAAAATATTTTATTTATTTACATGACAGAGAGAGAGAGAGAGAGATCACAAGTAGAGCAGGAGACAAAAAGAAGGGGAAAGCAGGCTCCCTCCGAGCAAAGAGCCTGATGCGGGGCTAGATCCCAGGACCCTGAGATCATGAACTGAGTCGAAGGCAGAGGCCCAACGCACTGAGCCACCCAGGCACCCCAGACATAATGTTCTTGAAATGACAACATTATAGATACAGAGAACAGATTAGAAGTTGCCAGGACTTGAGGGGTAAGGGTGAGAAAGAAGTGGGTGAGACTACACAAGGACAACATGATGGATCCTTGTGATGATGGAAATGTTCTGTATCTTGACTACAACAGTGTCACCTGTGATATTGTACTGGAATCCTGTAAGACATCCCCAGTGGGAAAAACAGTAAAGAGTATACCTCTGTATTTTTCTTTTTAACCACTGAACGTAAACCAACAATTAACTCAAAAAAAGTTTAACAAAACAAGCAAGGAAAACAAAAACCCATTTCTAGAAAAATCCATTACAGTACACGTGAACACACATGATTACGTGTTTGTCAGGATGGGAAGAGGTTCTAGATTCGGACCTGGTATCAAAACATCTCAATCCACTTACCTGCTTCACTTTGACTGTTGAGTGGTGAGGGCTTCGGCTTCTCTTACTCCGAGGAGACTTGCTTCTTCTCCCTGAGGACTTGTTTTTCTTTTTGGCTGGGGACCTTTTCAGAGCATGGTACACACAGGGTTTTATCTCAATTTCCCTTCCCCCAAATAAATTCACTTCAAGTAACAGGCTTACCTACTAACACAAACAGCACATTTGTGAAGGGCTCTGCTTTTCACATTAACAGAGGCGAGCACTTCACTCTCCAGCCCTGACGTCTTCCTTGAGTTCCAGACCCACATACATGGCTATCTACTAAACCTTCTCACAGAGCATAACTCTTGCTTTCTCCAACCCCTCAAAACCCTTTCCTCCCTCAGTCTCTGCCATCTCAGTAACCACCTTCCAGCCTGCTCCTCAAGACAAAAACCTAGAAAACGCCCTTAACTCTTTTTTTCCCTCACCACCAATAGCTCCCCACTCCCTCCCCCCACAACCACATTAATCCATCAGTGAGTCCTGTGGCTCTATCTCCTCCCTCTCCCACCTCACTCCTACGACTCTCCTTGATCACGGGACAATTTTCCCCCTATGTCTAGAACAACCACATTAATTCTGCTTCAGGTTCTTTGAGCGCATTGTTTCCTCAGCACGATCCTTAAGAGGCAGGATTAGTCTTATCATTCGGGTCTCAACTCAAATGGCACGTTTTCAAGGAGCCCTTCTCTCACTTCCCTTGGAACTCCATCACATGCCTGTTTTAACCTCTTCTTTAACCTAATACTTGTTACTAACTGAAACTATTTTCTTTATCTACTTACTATTTTGTCTCAAGGTGAGAGCGCATCAATTTCCCCAGGGCAAAGACGACTGCTCACCCTTGAGGCCCCTGTACCTAGGACACTCTTTAACACCCAGTAAAAACTATGTTGAAGGAATGAATCAACGAGTCCAGCAAGAGATCATTTTCCTTCCAAACCTCTACCAGGTAGATCGCCTAAGCTCTCAACGTGGAAAACTTTGGGGGCAGATAACTGGAAAGCCAAAGCCGGCACTCCATTTGCAGGCAGATGGGGGAAATCTTTTATTTCAATTCGATCAGTGCTATCTGCTGGGCCCGTACTCGGCCAAGAACTGGGCGCAGAGATGAAGGGGTGGGATCCTACCCATTAGGCATCAGGCGCTTAACCCAACTGACAGGTACCAGAGTAAACACTCTTCAGCACAAACCCGACAGGCTCACTTCCATCACTTTAAGATTAAATCCAAGCAGCAGCGCGCGGCATTCAAGGTGTGTTTCTGACGCTAGCCCTGTCTCTTCTCAAGAAGCCAGACCCAAGTCCATCCCGGGCGCCTTCCCACTTACCGGCTACCTCCTCGGGCTCGGTTCCCGCGATGACCAGGGCGGCCCGGGTCGCCGGCTGGCGGGGACGCGCTACCCCCGGAGGAATCTGGGCGGCGGTGGGCGGGAGGCGCGGCTTCCGGGCTGAGGCGCTCCTGCTTCACCTTCACCACCACCGCCGCCGCCACCACGTCCCCGTCGCGGTGCCTCCGCCGGCTCCCCCGCTCCCGCTCGCTCTTTACCTCCTTCATGCTTAGATACGAGCCGAGCGAAGGAAAAACAGGTCCGTTGCGCTCCTCTCCCTGAAGGAAATGACGGCCCTGACCCCTGAACTTCCGCTTCCGGGTGCGTGTTCTCCCAGAAACCCTGGCGGCGGAGATCTAAGCACGTGACAACCGCTCCGCAGCTGGCGGGATTGTAGGGACCCGCTCGGGTGGCGGGAATTTTAAGTGTCAAAAAGAAACCGGGAAACAGCTCCCCTCGAGGCTCTTTGTTGCCGCGTTATTAGTAATTACTAAACACGGAGACAATCTTAATGCCCAGCAGTAGGAAACTGTTTAGCCAACTGACAAATTGTCTGTCTCCGTTCGTAACGCGGTTTACAAGCTCTGTGACGGAGGGAGGAATCCCTGCTTTGTTCAACGAAAGAAGCGGGATCAATAATGGTGCGCAAACTGTGATTACACTTAGGTTTGGAAATACGAAGTTAAGAGAGGAGGAAATGGAATCACAGTACTGCCCGTGGGCCAGTCATTAATATTTCCCTCTCTATTCTCGAACTTTATGTTATGCTGTCATTTCAACATCTAGTTAAAAACAAACACTTTTTAAACATGTTTTACTTTCAAGTCATCTCTATAGCCAGCGGTGGAGTTCGAACTCACCACCTCCAGATTAAAAGTCTGACGCTCCACTAACTGAGCCAGCCTCGCGCCCCCAAAACAAATACTTTTTAAAACCTGGACCTCCAGGGGCGCCTGGGTGGCTCAATGGGTTAAAGCCACTGCCTTCCACTCAGGTCATGATCTCAGGGTCCTGGGATGGAGTCCCACATCGGGCTCTTTGCTCAGCCGGGAGCCTGCTTCTCTCTCTCTCTCTCTCTGCCTACTTGTGATCTTTCTCTGTCAAATAAATAAATAAAATTAAAAAAAAAAATCTGGAGCTCCAGATGCCCTCCTCTAGGTATCTTATCCTGGCCTTCACGGAGGAGTCACGTGACTTCCATTTTGCTGGCGACAAAATTGGGGGTCAGCGGTGACTTGCCATCTCATTCAAATTGCGAACAAGATGCAGCACAAGGACTCCAGCTCCTGTTTTGCCCGTTTCCAAAAGTATCAAGGCGACCGGTGAGCGGGAACCCTGATAACGTAAAGCACAAGGAGAATTTTTCGCCAAGGCTGAGCGGAAACTCACGACTGCTGGCCCCGCCCCACTCCGAAGCCCCGCCCAGGCCACGAGGAAGGGGGAGGAGGTTTCCATGGTGACAGCAAACAAGGCGCACACTGAAGGGGCCTCAGGCGGGCTACTACCCGCGTCGCCGCCATGATCCCCCCTGCGGACTCTCTGCTCAAGTATGACACCCCGGTGCTGGTGAGCCGGAATACGGAAAAGCGGAGCCCCAAAGTAAGGACAGGTCTTATGGGAGCGGGGGAGCCCGGGAGCTCCGATGGGGAAAGATCCCTGCGGTGAGGGTCCGGGGTCCAGAGAGACGTGGGCTGCAGCTACTGGGAGCAAAGGGAATTGGGACGGGGGAAGGAAGATGGGAGAGCGGTACAAGGAACCCAGATGGGTGACCCCAGAGGGCAGATTTAGGATGAGGAAGGAAGTCATAGAGGTGGATGGGGCTCAGTCTTTTTCGTAGTTATCTGGTCCAGGAACAGATCTGGTAGTGACTGCTCGCTCCATCACTAGAGGGTTGAGCACCCGTGCCGGAAACACTTGTTCCAGGAGATACAGGTCTTGGACTGGGGTGGCACCGGAGACTCTTCATGGCTTCCTTAAGCTGAGACATAACTTTTGAGAAGACAGATGGAGAAAGTGATCTGGGAAGAGGGGAAGGGTGTTTAGAAGACCTGGGGCAACTCAGAGGGCTTGGATATGTGGAGTTCAGTGTCTGCCCTAACTTGTCCATTTTTCTCAGGCACGGCCACTGAAAGTCAGCCCCCAGCAGCCTGGACCCTCCGGTCCAGTCCCACAGCCACCAAAGACTAAGCTCCCCTCAACTTCTGTCCCAGATCCTACAAAGCAGGCAGAAGAAATCTTAAATGCCATCCTACCCCCAAGGTAAAAATTTAGGAGCAATGGCTGGGAGAAAGCCCAGGCTTTGCTATCCCAGAACTTGGGAATGTAGGAAGAAGCACCCTGTCTCTGCCCCTGGCCAGGATTTCCTCCCAGCAATCCAGCACTCCTAAAGCTTGCAGACGGCTGGATCCTGGAAGGGTGGGGGGCAGGGAGACCTCTTCTCTATCGTCCTCTTTTCCTGAGTGCTCAAACTCAGGCTCATGGCTTTAAATACCATCTATATGCTGATGACTCCCAAATGTGTTTTTCCAGCCCTGTTCTTTTCTCTAAACTCCAGACCCATATATTTTACTGCTTCCTCATTAGCTTCATGAAGGTGTCTCCTAGGCGTCTCAAACTCAGCATGTCCAAACTAAATCACGATGTCCCCCTCTCCCAAACTACTCACCCCCAGTCTTCTTTCTCCTAGTGGCTCAGGCCACCCTTCATTCCTTTCGGTCTCTCACATCACACTTCCTATCCTTCATCAAATTCTTTTGGCTCTACCTTCAAATTTATATCCCAAATCCAACCACTTTCCGCCCCCTCTGCTTCCACTGTTTTGTTCCTCATCACTGTCACCTACATTGGCCTCCTATCTGAAAACCTTGCTTCCATTCCTAAGCCAGATCATGCCAGTCTTCTGCCAGGAACTCTTTAATGGTTTCCCATGTCCCTCCGACTAAAATCCCAAGACCTTACAATGACCTGCAAGAGTTAGCATGATCTGGCCCCTCGTATAGCCGTGATCTCGTCTCCCATTATTCTCCTTCTGTTCAGGGGGGTGATGCCACAGAGGCCTCTGCTCACTGTCTCTGGACACTGCTCTGACAGTTGCTGTTCTCACTGCCAAGGATACTCTTCCCCCGATGTCCACCTCGTTCCCTTCCGTCTCTTTACTCGGGTCTTGCTCAAATGTGATTGCCTCAAGGCAAGCCTTCCTTGAGAATCCTTATTTAAAAAAAACCATTTTCCCTTCTTCACCATCCCCCTACCCTGCTTCCTCCTTATCTGACATGCTTTGTTGACCATTTTTATGTAATAAGTTAACAGCACAGTTTCTAAGGCTGTGTTGAAAAGAGACTCATCCGAGATGGAAGTCAAAGAAGGGAGGGGAGATTTTTCAGGTGACTCCCTCATGTCAATAAATGGAAATCCTCTCCCCACGGTGATTCTTCCCTCAGGCTCCCTTCTTGTGATTCTGGAACCTGGCCATGCCTCTGACATAAGGTTTACTGGGGGGCAGGCCGGTGGGAGGAGGGGACCACATAGGTGCCTTCAGGAAGCTCCCCACTGCACACATTTGCCTCTTTCTGGCTGGCACAAGTTTTATGGTGCCCTGTGTGTCCCACCCCAGAAGTCAGTGAGGAATTCTCACTGGCCTTTCTGTTCCAATCAAGCAACAAGCCCATGAAGCTGCCCTCAGTCAGCTCATTAGGAGGGTAAGATCTGGAACATGGGTGATGATTTCACAGAGAGCCACAAGAGGGTAGAGATTGCCCAGCTCCCAGGCAGAGGCCCCGTGGAGGTGGCTTAGTGGGTGTGGCTATCAAGCCCCACACTCCTCAGAGAAGAGAGGGTTGGAAGCTTCTGGTGGGTTGGTGACAGAGCTGCTCCTTGTTCCTGCTCAGGCAGAGGACCCAAAAGGCCAGCTCTGTTTGGGTCCCGGGGCCCCTCTAGCTGTGGGTTTGCTCAGCCCGACTGTGTCTGTGCTGCAGGGAGTGGGTGGAGGACACGCAGCTGTGGATCCAGCAGGTGTCCAGCACCCCCAGCACCAGGATGGATGTGGTGCATCTCCAGGAGCAGCTGGACCTGAAGCTGCAGCAGCGGCAGGCCAGGGAGACCGGCATCTGCCCCGTGCGCAGGGAGCTCTACTCACAGTGCTTCGGTGAGCAGCCTGGCACGGGCTGCGGTTGCGGGACTACGCGGTCTTCTCCTACCTCCTGCCCTTCCCCATAAGCACAGACCCGAGTTCTGAGTACCCCTGAGCCAAAGCCCACCCCATCCTGGAATTGTCTTCTCTCCCACGCCCTGCCCCCCAACCCCAGGAACTGCTAAAGGCGTCCTCGACCCCCCATCTTCCAGCCAACCTGGACACCTGTTTCCTAACCTCTTAGCAAATGGTTAAAGATCAGAACTTCCATTTTAAATCTTTGTAAAAAAAGATTTTTTTAATATTAAGCATGTTAGTTTTTTAATCAGAAAGATTAATGTTCCGTATTTATATCCACCCATCAACATTCAGCCCTTGGCCCAGGAAAATATTGCAGGATGATTTGCTACTAACCAACAGTCACCAAAGAGTTAAGTGATAGTGTCAAATGGCTGTCCCCCAGCCCACACTCCCTGGCCTGAGTGGACTCTGACACTCAGACTGCCGCCACACCCTGCGGCCAGCAGGCTCTACTCAGTCTGAAGGTGACTAGGGTTTGCTGGCCAGGTCAGCATCTGTGGGAGAGATGGGTGGGCAAGCTTGGATACTTACTGTTTGCAGCCCCAAGCCGGTCCAGCCAAAGGGGCACGCAGGAGTTCCCAGCTGCTTTAAAGTAGTCGTCATCCTCAAACTGAAAAGTCAAATTTCTCGGACTAGTACCCTGGGCTTTCTTTCCGAGGGTGGCTAAGAGGGGCTTCTGGCTACAAGCAAACCTGAGGGCTCCTGTCTCCCTCTGCCCCGGGCTCGCCAACTGCCTGTCCTCCCAAGTGCTAAATTCAGAGCGGTGGTTATCTGGCAAGGCTCCTGGGGCCTCTGTCCCCAAGCGGGGAGGACACACGCTATGCTGTCCCCAGTAGGAAGGGTGGTGAGCCATAGACGTGGCACGGTTTCCCTCCCGCCTGCCCTCCTGAACTCATTGTGTGTGCACTTTGGAAGATGAGCTGATCCGAGAGGTGACCATCAACTGTGCGGAGAGGGGGCTGCTGTTGCTTCGAGTCCGGGACGAGATCCGCATGACCATTGCCGCCTACCAGACCTTGTATGAGAGCAGTGTGGCCTTTGGCATGAGGAAGGCGCTGCAGGCTGAACAGGGGAAGTCAGACATGGAGAGGAAAGTGAGTGGGGTTGACCATGAGGTTTCAGCCCTCTGTGAATTCTTCTGTCAATCTCAGGGCCACAGGGTTGCCATTCCAGATGAAATTCTGGCCTCTGAGGGGGCTCCAGCCATCCTGCCAACGAGGACCCTTGGGTTCAGAGCGGCTGGGCAGCCTGGTGCCGGCAGATCCCACTTCTCATGGACGTGCCGTGCCAGTCACAAACCCTCCACTGGGTGGCAGCACAGACCCTGACAATGTCAGCTTGGACAGCTGTGCCCAGGTCCCCTCCACCCAGTCACACGATCCTGACCCTTGGTGGCAGCCCAGGGTGACCCAAATTTCTGTCCTCAGATTGCAGAATTGGAAGCAGAAAAGAAAGATTTGGAGAGGCAAGTGAACGAGCAGAAAGCCAAGTGTGAGGCCATCGAGAAGCGGGAGGTTGAGAGGAGACTGGTAGAGGAGAAGAAGCACAATGAGGAGATTCAGTTCCTCAAGCGGACGAACCAGCAGCTGAAGGTGGGCCCCCCGCCACCCCCCCCCGCCTCCCCCAGGCCCACGCGCTGCCAAGGAGTGAAGGAAGCAGCGGTGGGGATGCGGCGGGAGGGGACAGTGAAGATTTATTATGTATCTTTTCCAGCCATCGGGCTCTGGATTCCCACAACACATCAGCCCGACTCTCTGGTGGAGGGTGTTTTCCCCTTGGAAAGAAGTCACCCATCCCCCGGGAGGGGCAGATATGGCAGAAAGTGGAACGTCTCTCCCATGACAGCATGGGCTGGATCTCTTCAGCAGACTCTCTTGGGAGGGCTTTTCCCACCTACGGCTCCTCTGAGGCATGGCCTTTGGGGTGGGCAGGGAAGGCTCTTTGAGAGGGAGAACCATTTCAAATTAGGAACTTTCCCCAAGTGCATGGTCAGGGGAAGGCAACTGGAGGTGTTTTTCCTCCAAGTCCCTTTGCCAGTGGTTTACTTTTACCCAGCCGAGCTGAAGTGGGGCCAGGCCCCTGAAACTCTACGTTCTCTGTGGAATCTGAAGTTTCCCTAAGACTGGGCCCCAGACCAGCATCATCACCTGGGAACTTTTAGAAATACAAACCACTGGGCCCATCCCAGATCTACTGAGTCGGAAACATCGGGGCTGGGGTCCAGCACCTAACAGCGGAAGTTTGAGGACCGTTGTTCTAGACAGCGGACCTGTTCATGTTTGGTGGTGGTCTCCCATGGCCCTGGCCAGAGGGGCCCCTGGATGCTGTCTCCCTTTCCTCCCTAGTCTCGTGGGAAGTTTTACATTCTTGTGATTGGCAGGCTTCTTGGGGCTCCACCAAGGACAGGCACTTAAGATAAAGACGGGCTTGTATGAACTGCTAGTGGGGGACGACAGATCTTCCTGTTGCTGAGTTTAACGAAGAAAAGCTAGAAACTTCACAGCCAGACATGAATCTATTTACTTAGCAGCTTCTGAAGCTGCGTGCCTTATCTGCCGTGTTCCCTTCACCATAAGCCCGAGTTCCTCACTTCCTCCTGCAGTTACCAGCAGCAGCACAGCGGAATACCTTGGCTTTTAACATTTATAAGCAACCTTGTCATCCCCAGGGGGTAGGACTCTTTAGAAGTGAGTTATTTTTATTGGCTCCAAGCTGCACTGCAAATGAAGCAGTGCCTGCAGTCCCCGAGACAAACCTGCTTAAAGAGCGGTCCGCACACCATGATAGGAAATTATTTGACTGGCCGGAGGAGCAGAGTAAGTAACTCCCAAGCGTGTTAAGCTTTACATACAAGATGGACAGCTCCCTACTTCCTGGTAGCAATTTCCTCTAATTGGGTGTCAGGTTGTCTCGGTGGCTGGAAGATGGCTGTTTCCCAAACCTCTCAGCCCAGCACAGAGCTCCCAGGATCCCAACCCAGAGGGCCAGATGTTTACCTTCGTGTTTCAGGCCCGAAATCTGAGCCGTGAAAAACCACTATTTCAACAACTTTTATTCAATTTCCTTTTCAATGCTTTATATTTTACACGGAGCCATTATCGAATGGAAACCAGGACAGCTCTGGTTTCTCCTCCAGCAGCAAGACTGGATGCCAAGCCCGAAACCAGCTAATCTAGGAAATACGGAATTGGGAATGGAGGGGAAAACACTTGGTGGGGCGGCATCGAATTCTTCTTCCCAGGGACTTTCTCACCTCTCAGCTAAAGGCTGCAAGCTTCAAATATTAATGGAGTTTGTTTTTGTTTTTCAGGCCCAACTGGAAGGCATTATTGCACCAAAGAAGTGATCATTTCCACATGGGTCTCGGCGAGCACTGCTACCCCATCCTAAACGCGTTGTAATAAAAAAAAGCTAGTTTCCTGAGTGAACAGGCCATACCCTCCCCCGAACCCCCACCTCCATGTTTGTCAGAAGTCACACGTTGCCCCAGTGGCATGGAACACAGGTCTGGCAGCCAGGCTCCTGGCTGGGCTGTAGAAGGCAGTGCAGCCAACGGTCTCTGTGCGTGGCCAGCCTTGGGATTTGCCAACTCAGAAAGTAGGGCCTTTTGCCATATCCCTTGCAGGTGAGACAACTGCCTTCCCACCACTGCTCCCTCCTCCCAACTACTCCTAGCCAAATGGGCCGCCTCCCTGTCCCATCTCTGGTCCGTGATGCATCTTGTACCTGACCTTGGGCTGCTGTGGCCTCGGTCTTTCCCTTGAGGTCTTTCACCATCCCCACCCCAGTGCAGTTGTAGGGGCTGCTGCAGGAGCTGTGCGTTTATATGAGGTCATTTTACGCCTGCCCACCACACCCACCACAGCCTCTTCCCTAGTCTCAGGCTGCTCAGGTGAGGCAGCAATGGCAGAGTCAAAGCCACGGCTTCTGAGCAAGTAAATGTCTGCTGGGAAGAAACACCAGCCACGAGGTCCGTGAGCTGCCTGCACCTCAGCAGCCCTGAGTTGCTTTGTTCATCTTACTCGGCAGGGAATCCCACCGTGACCCTACAGCCCTCTGGCTGGCTGTGTTAGTGAACTGGAGAGGCACCCAAACCTCACATGCAGGTCTAATTACTCACGCGGAGGCTGCGGCCCGGAGACTGCATTTTACGACTCCTCCCAAGTTCAACCCAGAGTTCAGAGGCCCAGGGCTGCTGCTGGTTCCACAGGCAGAACAGTACGTGAGCAACACAGATCTCTCACTCAGGGCAGCCCGGAGTGGGCCAGCGCAGCAAGAGGCGTGACTGCCCTCCTTCCTGCGGATGCAGACTGCACGAGGAACACACTTAGAGGAGGGCACGAGCGTGTCCACTTGGCTGCGCTGCCTCAAGTGGCTCAGTGTTGCCCTCAGGTGCCAGGAGGGACCCTCCGTAGCGGACCTCTGACCCGACATCGTCCCTCTGAAGGCTCCAAGGCTCCCTGGAAGGGCAGTCTGACAAGAAGAGCTGTGTTCCAAGTCAAACTTGCCCTGTGCCCCTCTCCCCTAAGATCAGAAGCCAGCTTTTACCCCTGTCCACGTGTCCTTGGGCATTCTAAGGCGCCACTGCAATCACCTGTGGGCTGCCATTTTCGTGGGCAAGAGCTCTGCTCGCTGAGATGGGCTAGACACGAGAGTCCTTGGCAGTGAAGCACCTATGTCCTCACCACGACTCCGGGACAGCTTGAGTGGCATTTTCCCCTCCTATTTTAAAGCCTGGGCCATGTACACTACATCCTTGAGATTTTGTTTTCACACTTCTGTTTCAAACTAATTGCCAGTATGACAGAAATACCACCTTTTCCATGCTGTAGACCTCATCCCTGTTTCTGTCAGAGACCTGCATGCCACGTTAACGCTCTGGAGGAACTAAGAGGGCTCGTGGAGGTGTCAGAAGTGCCCCTGGACCCCATCACCTAAAGCCTTGGGGTTGCAGGGACTTTCTTTTAACAGCACTGGTGAAGGGTTTCAACTGTCAAACCTCAGAATACATCAGGGCCTTAGAAATGCCAACTGGGCATGAAGAGAAGAACACAGTTTCTAATTGCATATTTTTGTATAATTTAATAAACTTTTAAAATGTTACTGCTTATGTTTGAATTTTTTGTGTTTGTGTTTCTGTCCGTCTGAGTCATTGGTCTTCTTTTTGTTCCTGTTCCTATTTTTCACGTTGTGTGTTTCATAGTAGCGTACACCAACTTTCCTGGACTGCTGCTGCCGCGCCGCTCGCCTCCGCTATAAACAATGGCAAGAAAGAAAAAAAACAAAATGACCAAAAACAAACAAACAAAAAAAAACACCCCAGTCAATCATAGCAAAGTCCCAGAAGAGCCCCTCTGTTTCTCTGCGCTCCCTTCCTATGCTGCTCCCCCAAGTACTAGAAGCAGTGCTAGTAACAAGGAAGGGCTCCCCTCACAGACCCAAGTGTGCTCTTGCACAGTAACTCGTGACCGTGCCATGTTCTAGACGGTCATTTGGTCCAACCATCCACCATGCTGGAATCTTTTCTACCGCACTCCTGACAAGTGGTCCTCTAAGGGTGAACACTTCTAGTAAGAAGCTCTTCATTCCCCGGGGGGGGCCACCCCAGCTCTGATGAGCCCAGTAACAGAGCTGGGGGCAGGAATCCGTCTGCCGAAACAGCTCTGCTCACCACAGAAAACCAGCGGACCCTTCTAGAGGGGAGCCCACCTGTCTGAGGACAGTGATCAAGAACTCAAGGACCTTCATCCGCTAGGCCAACTCTTAATCCCATTGAACTAATCACAACTACGTCACTTAGGACTGGGGTTCTGAGAATTCAACTCCAGACCAGCAGTTCTGGAAAGCATGTCTCAGGAAATGGATTGTTCCTCTTTACTTCCTGGGTGACATTTAAGACCAAAACCACGTACTTCCTTAGATGTAAGCATTCTGCGAGTCTTATTTGAACGGTCCTCTTCCCTCTGTGCCTTCCTTTTCTTTCCCTTTTTGGTAGGTGCTGGAAACATAACACACAAACATACAGAAAAGAATCAGGAATTTTCTATTCCAAACTCTGTCTGTGAATGCTAACATGAGAATGAGCTTGACTGTGTTGGAGAAAGAAGGCCAGTGTGCATGGAGTGTGACGGGCACGGTGCAGGGGAAAAGTGGGATGAGGCCGGGAGGGCGCCAAGTCAGGGGGACCCTTCCAGGCCGTACCAGGGTTTGCATTCATGCCACGGAAACACATTTTCATGTAGAAGCTGTGAGTCCAATGCAGTAAAGAACAGATACCTGACCCATCCCGCCTCCCACAAAAAAAAATCTGGCTGACTCACCCCTAGACTATAAGGTTACTAATGGTCTCTTTTTACAGGAAGTCTCCTGAATTAATCCCACGAAATGTGCAGAATGAAAAGCGAATAACCCAAGCTATACAACAAACAGTATACAGAACAGGGTCACCTGCCCATAATGACAAGCACCGTGCGGGGAACAGCACAATCCCCCAGCGTAGAGATGAAAGTCACACGTCCCACGGTTCTAAGGGTGCACACCGCACCCAAGCGGTTTGATGAATTTAACTTTACCTGTGTCTTCTGCAACCTCTTCGGCTGCTCTTTGTTCTTCAGAATTTGCAAAAACCTTTTCACTTAGTCCCTTGGATATTCTGCAACAGAAAAGCCAAGTAACACAGCTGCCCGATCACGTGCCAACCCGGGGGCAGGGACCACCCTGAAGACTGCAGAAAGCCACCCTCCTTCCCGCAGTTGCCACTGCAGCCCACCAGCAGGAGGTGAAGCCCCACAGTTCCAGCAGCTCCCTGGGCCTTGGGCAGAGGCGGACCTAAGCCACTCATAATTCAGGGAGCTCCCTCTCATAAAAGGACAGACCACTTTTTTAAAAAATGGCACTCCTTTCCACCTCCCATAAAAATACTGCTCCAGTCCTCGTGGCAAGTGTCTTAGAAAGGAACGAGCAAACTACAATTTGTGAGAAGACGAGGATACGACCTGACTGCTGAAAACTTCTTAGCTTTGGCTTTGTTTAAAAATTTCTGATATTTAGCAATCTTTTCATCCAGAGCTCTAATAACGGCCTTGGTGTCGTTTCCCACATGTTCTCCCTGGGACTCCGGGCAAGACTCCTCTTCCTCGTCTTCCAGTTGCTCCAGTTGCTCCTGTTCCTCCTCCTCCTCCTCCTCCTCCTCCTCCTCTCCGGAAAAGCTCTCAAGCTCTTCATCGATATCGGACATCTCCAAAGGGACCAGGTCATCCCCGGAAAACTGAGGCACGACATTGATTTTGCCGAAATTCTGCCGAACCCGTGCCAGAATCTGCTGCATTTCTGAGTCCGTGTCACAGTGACTGTTCTCGTTTTCCTTCTCAGTGACAGGCTCTGAGGCTTCCCCTAGAGTTGCGGTAACTTCCTCTTCAGCGTCCTTCTGGATTGCTTCTGTGGCAACTTCCAAAGATGGGGAGGACGGGAGCTATTCAGACCAAAAAGGGGGACAGGTGAGGGAGAGAAATGGGATCAGAAAATAAAAACCATTTCCGAACTGAGAGCCTGCTCCCGAAGGAGGCAGTCCCCTTCTCGGCACTAAGGGAAAGAACTGAAAACCCGCCCACTGGAATCCCGTCGTTCATCTACCGCAGGCCAAGCTCCATTACACCCAGAAGCCGCGACTCGGCTCCAAGGCCTTCAGCTGCGGTTCCAAAGGATGAGCCCACTGTGAGTATCGAACCACTCAGACCATCCGCCATGCCCAGCAGAGTGTCTGCCTCCCTCCACCCTCCCTGAGGAGGGGAAGGACTGGGGCTGTGGAGACAGGCACACCCAAGGCGAGCACACACAAGTGCCCCGGACAGAAAGCAGACTGCTAAGCGGTGGGACGCAGGAGAAGCCCCCGGAGGAAAGGTGTGATGACCAAGAGAAGGGAAGCTTGTGACGGGAGGCCATGAGGAGGCGAGTTGGGGGACAGGGAAATAAGCTGCCTCTCTGAGGTAACAGCAAAGAAGTGTGTGGCAGGATTTATCCTGGTGCCTCGCCTTTGTGGTATTATTTTATCCTTGCAACGGAGATTCACGAACCTTCAGGGATTTTCCGAAGGCAAGAGTGGTCGCACACCAAGTGCTCAATAAGTCAGGAATCCAGAACATTCAGGAAATTGTATACAAAATTTGTAGGTACATTTTTATACCTGTTCCCAAAGCTAAGTTTTTAGCTTTTAGATTCTGAACGAGTTTCGGCCACTACCAAGAGAAAAAAAAGAAGAAAATCGCAGACTGGGGGAAATAATGATCTAAAACTCAATGACCAGACACGGAGGAAGCGCTCAAGATAACCCTATGATGTGCACATAGGGTGACAAGAGACCCTGCCACACCTCCTTCCTACCACGACCCCCCCCCACCGCGAGTCCCTTGTGCCTTGTGCTGCTGCGGTCCGGCCCCATGACTTCCTCTCGGCACGTGGATCACAGCAGGCAGGCCCTGCCTTCGGCCAGTCCCCTCTCCCAAGAAGACAGCTACTCCGCTCCTGCCTCACACCATTAAGGTCTCTACCAAAACGCCATTCCTCAGAGGCCACCCTCGCCCATCCCACGTACAAGAACACTCCTCTGTCTCCCATGCCCTGATCCTGGTTTTGTCTTCCTCACAGTAAGCAGTGCTTCCTGACATTTTTCTATTTATCTGTTTACTGTCTGTTTGCCTATAGTATCAGAATGTATGTTTGGTTTTGGCACAAGAGCTCTAAACCCCTTAGTATCCTGAGTAAAAAAAGGGTGCCTGCCATTCTTCCTAACAAGCCCCTTTCCACCACCCAGGAGTTTATGCTGATGACATGCTCACGGGAGGGGGGGCCTCTCTTCAGAATGGGGGCTGGTCACCAAAAGGCCCAAGCACCTGAAGAGAGAGCGAGAGACAGGAGTTTGATCACCGATG